ATGTGGGGATGAACCACTCGAAGCTAGTCGTTTGGGGCTGGGACTGGGTGTCTGGCACTCTGTTCCCGCTCTGCCTTTCCCCTCATTGTATCTCAGGCCAAGCAAAGCATAGTAGTGCCTGGCATGTCATAGGCACTCACATATCTGTTGAATAAATGGATAGCTAAGGTGGAAGAGAAGAGTCAAGGATGGGCGCTAATACTAGGAAGCTGATAGGGAGGTAGCTGGGGAATTCAAGGGATTGAGAGAGTTCTCATGGACTGAACTCTAATTTTCACCCTCAAGCAGAGGATGAGGTGATCTGATTTGCTAAGAAAGGAAGTAGGAGGAGGTAGGTGGCTCAAGAAAGTAGTGAAGGTTTGAAATAGGTGCTGGGAAAGATAGGAGACAGCTGACTGGGCATCCGTTCACTCTGTGCGGCAGGCATTTCAGCGGCAGATCCACGAGAGACTCACTCAGCTAGAACTCATCAACAAGCAGTACCGGCGGCTGGCCCGGGAGAACCGCACAGACACAGCCAGCAAACTGAAGCAGATGGTCCACGAGGGCAACCAGCGCTGGGACAACCTGCAGAAACGGGTCACAGCCGTGCTGCGGAGACTCCGAGTGAGCTCCTTCCCCTGACCCGGGCTGTCTGTAGCTGTTCAGGGGGCAGTGGTATCCAATATGGAGCTGTACACAAAGCAGGGGGTCGAAGGCTTCATTTAAGGCCCTGAGCTACCTTAACAGCCCCGAGTTGCAAGGGTAATGTTTCCTAAAGAACTATTTGCCTTTGGAGCTTTTTAGGCAGAGCCTGTTTCTGGGATTTGTTAATCAAAACAAAAATTTGTTTATCACTAGTTTCTGGGACCCCCGGTGGTGTGCACATGAGCACACAGGCTGTCCACAGGGTCTGAGGAGCTGTCTTTCCTGGTCTGGGGAAGGTTCCATCTGAGCCTCCAGGAAGTCTTCTTTGCCCATCTCTCTGTCTTAGTATGTCCCATTGCTTCTTGCACTGTGAGGAACATGGGCAAAGCACGTTAGCCCTGTCTGCATTGCGGTGATTGGGGACAGTGATTATCCTCTGAACTTCAGAGCACACTGACTAACCTCCAAGGCTGGGTTTGGTTTCTGAATATAAACATTCACCTTAGCTTTCTGTAACTCGATAGACCTGGTATGGAAACCTTTTGTGAGTCCAGGTATAAACTGACAGGACCAGTGTGGGGAGGAGCTGCGGGAATTAATTTTAATCCCTGCTTCTCTTCTCAAGGCAGAGTGTTTTTGAAGCCAACATAGGAAGATGAGAACCTGGCTTTTAATTTTTTTTTTTTTAACCCTCTCAGGAAGAAATTGGCTAGCTTTTCTAAAAACCCAGACAACCCCTTAAAATAATTTCAAATTCTTCTGCTCATTTGTTACCATCCTAAACCTTCTGTTGGCACAGAATGCTGCATTTGTCTGAGAGTCACTGCCCATCTCTAAGGTGGTAACCCAAGAGGCATCCTTCTGTGGAGGTGATAAATCGACTCCTCAGGTCTTCTTTTTCTGAGGGAACACATTCCAGATTGCACTAATGTGGCCATTGAGGCACCAGGCCAAGCTCAACCCTGAGACCAGTTTTTTCTATCTTGAAGCTACTAAATGCTTCTGTCTAGCAAAAGCTTCTGCAAAGACTAATGGGTAAAAACAGGCAAAAGTGCCTGGCTTGGACTCCTAAAGGAGTTCCTCAAAGGAAAGGTTCAGAAAAATCACTGATTTAGTGAGTACAGTATCAGAATTGATTCAGTGGCAGTTGGTTTGGTTTGGTGCTCTTGTATTTAAAAAAAAAAAATCATCTATATGAGACCAAACAGTTAACATTTAAGCAAAGATGAGAAGGGGAAGCAGGGAAGCTAGATTAATGGAAATGGAACAACCAGAAGATAAATCACAAGAATGTTGACCTTGTGAAAAATGTAACCTATGTCACTAAACAATATGTATTGGAATTATTAAACAGGAACCTAATTTGCTGTGTAAACTTTAAGAGCATAATGAAAATATTGTTTTTCTAAAAAGTTTCATACCTAAAAAAAAAAAAAAAAGTCACTGAGTTAGACTAGAGAATTAGATAGTATTATGAATGCCACATAGACCTTAGAGATCATCTCGTCACCCCCTCTCCTCCTTTGCTGGTGAAGAAGCTGAGGCTCCGAGAACTTGTTCAGTATCATACAGCCAGGACCAGACCCAGGCTCCTGACCCCCTCTGCCCCGTAAAAATGGCATTTTGCAGTCCTCCTGGGTTGCCCCGGAGACAGGTTTATCTCCCAGGTACTCTGGGAACCCTCTCCTTTGGGCCTCAAGTGACCTTGCTGTCTACCTGAACTCTCGTTCCCCAGTCAACACAGATGTGATTTTTTTCTCCCCCTTTCATAGCATTTCACCAACCAGAGGGAGGAATTTGAGGGGACCAGGGAGAGCATTCTGGTGTGGCTCACTGAGATGGACCTACAGCTGACCAACGTGGAGCACTTCTCTGAGAGCGATGCAGATGACAAGATGCGCCAACTGAATGTAAGGGCTGCTACCTTTGCTCCTCTTCAAAGAATGCATCTTTGCAGAGGAAAACTGGCCATGTACAAATATCACCTGATACCCTGAGACCACATTCCAGAACTGTAAGAGCAGCCGGGCTGAGTCCCAGCTGTGTACTGCTAGATTCTCATGAGCAAGGATCCTACTCCTCACAGCTGAAAGATCATTGTCACGAGGCTTCTTTTTCTCTTTGTCATTTTTTAATCAATCACTGGCTCCAAAGAGAATGTCTTAAGATGCTGTTTCTCTAATAAACACTTGGTGTAGTAGAGTAAAATCTCTATCAGCAGTGGGGCCAAGGCAGATATTCTCTGCTCTCTCACTGTTATGAATGTCCATACTACAGTGTAAAACCAGTAACCAATTTCTATTGAGTTAGTTCTGACTCATGGCGACCCTTGTGTATCAGAGTGGAACTGTGCCCCACACGGTGTTCAGTGGCTGATTTTTTCAGAAGTAGGTTGCCAGGCCTTTCTTTGTAAGTGCCGTTGGGTGGACTTGAACCTTGAGCCTCTTAGCAGCAGAGCATGTTAACCGTTTGCACCTCCTAGAGACCGTAATCTTGCTATAATTTCCTCCTTGGTCAGATTTGAGAAGAGGATGCAAAATGGAAATTTGCCTTGCCTAAACAGTAGTATGTATGGAACCAATGAATTTCACATTGCATCGGCAGAAGTGAATGCCCATTGGTGGCTTATTGTGGGAAATTTTCTGCTTCCATCAATCATTGATAAGACACAGTCTCTTCCTCAAACCCAGCAACTCTAAATGTCCATCCTCATTAAGCTTTAAGAAACATTTTAATTGGAAAAGCCAATGCAGTGCCCAGAAGGAAGAGGAAAAAATATGTGGACAGATGTATTAAGTTATTAAATATTCATTGTCACTTAGTTAAAAATTGATGAAGCTAGAGTACTAGAAGGAACAAAGCAATAATGGCATTTTGATTCTTTTTTTCTACAGTGGTGCATGAGAAACAAATTCTCAAGACCCCCAGGGAAATTTCTCTTTTTGAAGTCTTTCTTTCTCATATTCTAAATAGGGTTTCCAACAGGAAATTACATTAAATACCAACAAGATTGATCAGCTTATAGTTTTTGGGGAGCAGCTAATTCAAAAGAGTGAGCCCCTAGACGCTGTACTGATTGAAGACGAATTGGAAGAGCTCCACCGTTACTGTCAGGAGGTGTTCGGCAGGGTCTCCCGGTTCCACCGGCGGCTAACCTCCCACGCTCCGGTAAGGGGAACGCGTCCCACAGAGGGCTTCTGGGCCACTCAGTTTATATTCGATTACACTTTTAAAGCACTGGGAAACTTACCTTGTAATGGCTGTGGTTTATTTTATGTTAGAAAACCTATTTTGAAATTCTTTATTCCCACTTTCTAGAATATAGAGCTACTGGTACCCCATCACAATTGCTTATTATTCCCAAAACCCAGAGGAAAGGATGGCACTTCTGAAAGTTCTATTCCCTGTTTTCAGTGTCTTCTTCAGGACAGGGTTTTCCTAACATGTGGCAGTACCTCTAGAATCAAGTGTAATGACTGTTCTGGTTTTGCTTAACTTGGAAGTATGTTTGCCTTTTCTTTCATCTTAGTGTCAGGGAGCTTTGAGTAGTCATGCCTTTCTGGTACTTTGTTCTCACCTTTGAAATGTCAAAAGCACTGCTTTTGAAAGCAACTTTCATCTTTCCTTTGACAAAAGAACTTTTGGGAACTCCAAATGGAGTTAAGGCTGTTATTCAAAGTTCACAGCCTTTGTGTGCCAAAAGCGTTATGTAAGGACAACATTGACCAGTAGCACTGGCCACATTTTCTTTTCATGTATGTGTACCCCACTGGTCAATTTCAAGTGTAGTTATTTCTTCATCAGAAAGAGCTTCAGAAATTACCCTCATTTTCAAATGTAGCTCTTTACAGAAGCACTACAGCTCAGGGTGAATATAGGCCCTGAACAATAAGATGGGGGGGATTTGAAAGAGTGAGCTGGGGGGATGTGGTCCTGAAAGGTGTGACTCTAATCCAGAATGCTCTAGTGTCCTTTTTTGTGTTTTTTGGTTCTTGGTTCCTGCCATTAACCATCTGTGGAACTTTGGCCTCCATTTTCTTATTTCTAGATAAACTCATTCGACTTAGATTATCAAATATGAATTTTTTCCTTAGGAGGAAATTTGGAGTTTTGGGAAAATCCAGATTCTAGTTCCCCACTCCAGAGTAGCTAGATTGGAAGGACTATTCCAACCTGGAATGGGCCCAGGACTCCGATTCTTTTTTAATCTGCCTTACAAATGGGGATGGCAGCCATTTGTAGGAACTGCTGGGCGGGCTGAATTCTCACGCTCCTTACAGCTCTAATAGCCTATGATTTGGTTATTTCTAAAACTGGATAATCCTGTTTAGGGCTTGGAAGATGAAAAGGAGGCCTCTGAGAATGAAACAGACATGGAAGACTCCAGAGAGATCCGCAGTGATTCTTGGCATAAGAGGGGCGAGAGCGAGGAGCCCTCGTCCCCTCAGTCCCTTTGCCATCTCGTGCCCCCAACAGCAGGGCACGAACGGTCTGGCTGTGAGACCCCTGTCAGTGTGGACTCCATCCCTCTGGAGTGGGATCACACCGGTGATGTGGGGGGCTCCTCTTCTCACGAAGAAGATGAGGAGGGCCCGTACTACAGTGCGTTGTCAGGTAACGGCCTTGAAGTTGACCCCTTGGGCTATGTTTTCAGCACCCTAGCAGCTCAGCCAGCTCTCAGTGATCAAGAATCCATCCTCCAGCTTGTGGCTGATCCAGGCTTTGTGTGGCTTCCTATGTTCTGTGCTGCCCACTGGGCTGTTAGCTGAGAGTTGGCTCCCTCCCATGACAGGCAGAGTAAAAGGAGAAAAGAAGTGAAATCACACTGAGATGTTACGGCTGTCACTGGCTCCAGATGTTGGGGAGATGACTCATCAGTGAGCCTGTTCATTGAGACTTCACAGCATCGGTAGACTGAGGGCTTCCATTCTTTCGACGGGCTCCCCCCCGCCCCTACCGCTTCGGACATTCGGAGTTGGCTGAGAAATCCTTCTGGTTTTTTAAATCTTTTCTGTTGAAAGATAAAGGGTAGTTGATTTTCTCCTTCCTGCTGACAATGTGTCTACTGTCTTAACATAATACTTGGGCATTAATCTACATGCTCCTCCAGTAAGGAAAATGACATTATTCTTTTTCAGATGTAGAAATCCCTGAAAATCCTGAGGCCTATCTTAAAATGACCACAAAATCTTTGAAAGCGTCATCTGGTAGGCCCCTGCCCGTGCATGTGTCTCAACATGGCAGCACCCTGCAGCACACACTGCATCCTAAACCTCTCTCCATGTTGTGTCTGACCTCCGCCTTCTGTGGACACCATGCGCCTTGGTCCTGTGTCATGGTGTATTTACACTGCCATACTCACACATACCTGCGTGCTTGTTACAAAACCCCGCCCAACCAAGCGGTCTCGAGCCATCCCTCACCTCCCCCTCAGGCCTGTGCAGAAGGGAATTTTTCATGGTGCATTTTTAAGTTTTTTCTCCATCTGACTAAAGGCCTGGGCCGAGCTTTCTTCATGGTAGCTTGGTTTGGAGGTATTTCCTTGCTTATGGTGATTTCCTGGGAAAAGAAGGAGTAGGTGGGTGAAAGTAGAGGTCTTCTTGTATGTATGGTGGAAGCATTCTTCCTTTCCTTGATTTGTAGTTCCAAGCTTTCTTCTCTGGACCACCCCATCTGCAGTGGTGGGGTAGAGCCATGAGCAGCCCTTTAGTTCCCAAGTCTGTCTTCCCCTCACACCTGGAAGGCTTTCCGTCCTCTTGGCCCCCAGCCCCAGCCTTGCAGCCCATTGTCACCACCATCAGAAACCCATCTCCAAAACGCCACTCATCCTGCCGCAAATTACATGTTTGTTGTGCCCCATTGTGAACCCATTTAGTGAAGGCATAATGTCACTCAGTTGCATGTCTCTCATTTCATTGCCTTCTGGGACATACTGACATTTTGCAAACATGCATGCTTTGCAAGAAAAGCTGCACACCTCATTTTTATACTATAACCTGATGCCGCATTACCCATGATCTTTTTTTGTCTGTAACTAAATATGAATTGTTTGGTTAAAGAGAATGGACTGTCACTTGTATTTTTTGTTTCAGGTAAATCAATTTCTGATGGGCACTCATGGCATGTTCCTGACAGCCCTTCCTGTCCTGAGCGTCACTACAAACAAATGGAAGGTGATAGGAACATACCGCCCATCCCCTCAGATTCCAGCACACCTTATAAACCAGCCTACGTAAGTCTCGACCCCACTAGGTGTAATATAACACAAGTGCGTGAGTAATAGTTTTAAAAAAGAGAGAGAGAGAGATTTTGGTATATATACTGTGTGTGCTCACTCCCCAGCCTCATGTTTTGAGTAGGTTTTTCCATGGTGACAATTATCTGTGCTGAGCTGTTCATACTCTTGGGCCTGGTCTCATCAGCCCTGCCAGAACTGACTAGATTTATAGATAAGTTTCTGGCCCAAAACCACCTGTGGGTGTTGGATGCTACGACAGAAGTGACTACCATCGAGTCAGTCCCCGGTGCTGATGGTGAAGTGAAATGCCGATGCCCCAGAACAGCTCCTGAGTCTCAAGCCTTTACGACATTGATATTTTGACTCCACGTCCTACTGAAAAAATCACGACTTTATATTCAAAAAAAGTGACGGTGTTCTGTGATAGATGTGGGTTGATACCTAGACCTACCATTAAATTGTTTTGGGGCCTGACACTCTTTGCTTTAACTCTGTAAGGCTGGGTTTCTTCAACTACGGATAAACCTACTTCATGTAATTATTGTTAGGATTAACGTATCAAGGTTCCAAATAAAGTGCTTAGTACAAAGGCAGCCCTCAGGAGTAATCATCATTACGACTACTATCATAGGGTCGTTATGAGTCAGAGTTGACTCAACAGCAGTGGGTCTGGTTTGGGGTTGTAGGTCATTGTTGTGTGTAACTGTGAACACACCTCCAGAGTTACGTTTTTTCAGGCAACAGGACTCCATGGGCATGCTCTGAAGCAACTGTTGAGGGGAAGCTGCCCTGGGCTTAATGCTGGCCTCAGATCATTCACAGGACAGAGAATTAGCAATGAGTGGAAATTTAAATGTCTCTTTGATTTTTGGTGTCATCTTTTAGAGAAAGCAAAAGCAATGTAAGCATCACTGGACTGGTCCTCAAACTGCCCTCTGTGTCTGTTGTGGTGTTGTAAGGAGCTCTGGTGTGTCTTGGAGTGAATTTTGCTACATAATTGGACATGGTCAAATCTGAATTAGTTGATGAGTTGGCCATGCCCAATTCAGAAACTCTTCCTCTGGCTTAGCAAGCGAGTCTGTGCCCTCTGTTGTGCAGAGTAAGACCTCAGCCTAGAGGACACAGACCCAGCCCCAGACCTTTGCTTTCTGACCAGGGCCCTCGTGGTTTGGCTGCTCTCAGCAATTACACTTGTGCTCCTCACCTGGCTAGTTTCAGGAGCCCAGCCCTTTTATTGTGTCTGAAACCAGGTGTGTCACCACAAATCTGAAGAGTTTTTTATTTTTTTCGTTCCACACAAATAGGCCATATGGACACAAGCCAAAGAAGGATGGCTTTTCTTTAAAAAAAAAAAAAAAGGATACATTTATTTTTGGAAAGGCCTGAGATAATAGCCCCATCAGTTCTGTGATAACAGAAGAGTCAATATGTGCAGTGAAACATAAACACTTGGTAATGAATGACCTTGGGAGACGGATCTCTCCTCTGTTTCCGATTCCCGGTGATAATAATGCCAACCACCTCTACAGAGTGACTGGGAGGGCTAACTAAAATTCTGTAAAACACTGTGACAGTGTAAAAGTGCTAACACAGTATCAGCCTGGTAAGCTCAACAGTTGTTTTTAACTCTTTATGCATGGTTCGCTTGAGAAGTGTTAGGAAGCATTTAAAAAGGCCATTTTATCCCTGTCATTGACATCTCATCTGCTTCCCCCTTTGTGGGCTGTTGCCAAGGCTTTATTTCTGCCATTAGCTCTGCTTGCTTTAAATGCTGCCCATACACTGGAGTGCCTCTGAAACACTAGCAAGTCACCCTCCAAAGAGAAAAGTCCCGTATCTTGATTTCTTACCTGTTCATATGAGCCAAGTTGTTCTTCAGACATTTAAAATGGCATTGAAATTGGTATTTCATCTTTCAATCATAACTTAAAATTTGTTTCCCTCTAGGCAAAGCTGCTATTACCTTCCGGCACTGATGTTGGCAAAGAAGGCCCAAGAGCCCTGAACAGCGGCGCCCAGCAGGAAGAGCACAGGCTGGCCGGTCTAACTGGGCAGCAGTCAGGTATAGTTGAAAGTAGGCAGTTGTTAAGAGACGTGGGGTATGTTTTTTTAGGTTAGTTGGGCATTTATTTGAATGTGTTGCTCAATAGAATATTAATTAGGAATTAACCAACTATATAATTCACAAAAACTGTTGCACTTACTCTACAGGAGTATTATTTTAGAACCAGCTGACCTGTATATATGACCTAATTCAGACTGTTCACTTTATGTTCAAAAGTATTCTTTAAATATTGGCAAAATGAGCCTCATATGATGAAGTGCATGTTTTAATGACTTCACTTGTGTATAAAGATCAGACATGAAGATGATGAAAAGAGTTGTGATAGGGGTCTCTTCATGAGACCAGTTCATTGATTATAAAAGTGTTAACTGAGGAACATCCATTAAGTCTAAACTACAGCTGATAGCCCTGATCTGACTAAACCAAAAACCAAACCAGACTCACTGCCATCGAGTCTGATCTGACTCAGAGCTACCCCTCCTTGGGTTTCTGAGGAACTATGGAAGAAGAGTGCCCGATCTTCCTTCCGAGGAGCGTCTGGTGTGTTTGAACCGCCAGCCTTCTGGTCAGCAGTCAGATGCCTTAGACGCTACGCCACCAGAGCTCCCCCTGATCTGATTATTCACAGAGTAAAGGAGAAAACACCTTAAAAACAGTAAGAACTGAAATGCTGAACTTGAGACCTACCACATATTGGCAACAAGCTGGGTTTCCTACCACCCACCTGCCTCATTCCAGCCTTGGTGGGAGTGTTGTGGCACAGGCCTTGAACCAGAGCCTGAGTCAGGGGAGGTGCCATTTCATACTCCAGGCAAAGAGAGAACTCCCAAATCCTGTTCCTCCCACAAGGTTTTCATCACTCTGACCCCCAGTTAATTGGGAGCAGAGAAATGTGTTTGCATTTTTGCTGTTTTTTAATTGTCAGCTGCTTATTCCAGGTGCCTTTGACAGATGGGAGGCGATTCAACCACAAGAACTTCACAGCAAACTTAGAATAAAACAAAACTTGCAGCAGCTGAACTCTGATATCAATGACATCACCACTTGGCTGAGAAATACTGAAGCAGAACTAGAAACATTAAAGATGGCAATAGCCCCCTCCAATATCCAAGAAGTAGAACTCAGAGTGAAGAAACTGAAGGTGAGTTGAAGGTGTGAAGGGAAAGAAGAATTCAGAACACATTTGTGGCATTAGAGAAGCCTTGCAAATGGTGTGTGGTCGGGTCCTGCCTGGTCCATTGCTCTTCTGTCCCTGGCAATGACATAGATGCAGATTTTTTTCATGTAGAAGATTTTTTTCTTTTTTTTTTTTTTTTTTCAAATGATGCTCAAAGCTGGGAGGGTCAGGCTTCAGAGGCATCTGTAGGCCCTAGGCATGTTTTCCCTTAACACTGACTTAAAACCACCCTTCCAATGTATGTGACAGTCCCAGTCAGAATGAGTGATGGAACATCTTGGAAGGGTAGGAGGTGGGACGACTAGCTTATCACTGGTGAATGCTGTGACCTGATCTGGTTACCCTATTATGCACTTAGGATGTCTTCACCCACAGAATGAGCCCCTGCCCTGCTGGGACTGGCAAGGAGCAGGGGAATGGCAGTTTGAGCCCTGTACTTTGGGGGTTCTCTGAGCATGAGCTCTGAGAGAACCCAGAGCCAGGGTCTGGAGTCTCCAAGCACTCTTCGTATTTTTGGACTCTCTGAGTGGTGTAGTCAACACATTTGGCTGCTAACTGGAAGGCTGGCACTTTGAGTCCACCCAGGGATGCCTCCAGAGAAAGGCCTCCTGATCTACTTCCAAATAATCGGCCATCGAAACCTCTATGGAAGGGAAAGCACAAGAGTTAAAGGCAGCAGAGGTGAACACTGTTACATACACAATCTTGTAATAAGAGTAATAACAGTAATTTTCGAGTAGATACATAGATAGATCATCTGAACAGGGATGGCAAGGCGAATGGGACCACACCCATGAATATATGCCAGTGTGACTGAGGTTATCTCTACCTTTGTATTTATATGTGCTGCAAATACATCCATGGATGTAGTAGAGCATACAGGGGACAGTTACGAAAAGGTCTTAATCATAACCAGACACCTTGAGGGAATGAGTCGCTGGGTATGGAGGCTCAGGACCATAGTCTAAGGTCAATTGGCATAATATAGTCCACAAAGACAATGATCCACATCCTACTTTGGAGCATAGTGACTGGGGTCTTAAAAGTTTGTAAATGGCCATCTCAGGCAACTATTGGTCTTTCCCTGTCTGGAGCAAAGAAGAGTGAAGAAAATCAAAGACACAGGAAACAATTAGTCCAAAGTACTCCTGGAGCATGTGAATCCCAGACTCCATGACCCTCAAACCAGAAGAACTAGAGGGTGCCTGGTTACCATTGCTGATGACTCTAAAAGGGGCCGCAGTAAGAGCTCCCAGATAGAGTAGGGGAAAATGTGCAACAAAACTCAAAATCATAAAAAAGACCATGCTTACTGGTCTGATGAGAACTGGTGGAACCCCCAAAACTATGGCCCTTAGACACTCTTCAAGCTAGGAATTAAACTTAAGCCTTGTGACTCAACTGTCAGCCAGATGATAGGTCTGTAAGGTGAACACTAATATCAGGAGGGCATGCACTCATTAGACCAATCATGTATATGAGGTCAAGAGGACAGCATTTGCCCAGGGATAAAGCTAGGAAGGCAGGAGGAGATGGCAAGGAAGGACAAAGGGAAGGGGTGGGTGCAGGAAAGAAGTAGGAAGAGTGGGATTATAGTAAATGTCACAAAACAGAATGCGTATGGATTGTCAAATGGAAATCCATCGTTTAAAAAATAAATAAGTATATAAAGCCACCTTGTGGAGCACAGTTCAACTCTGACATGCATGGGGTAGCCATGAGTCAGAATTGGCTCAACAGCAATTGGTCTTTGGTTTCATATTTTTACTTTGATTTTCCTGTGTGCACTGGTGTATCGGGTTACTGTTCATCCTAAGAAATAACATTTCTGTGATATTTGGAGCAAATGCAGAATAACTGGGTATATTTTATCTGGAAGACTTTTAATTTGGTCTAAAAATGTTATTGAGCCAACCAAAGAACCGTGGCGCTAGAGATCACCAGGGTCTGTGCACGCCTCCAGTCTAGTCAGCTGCCTGGAGAGAGGCAGGCAGGCCTCTGTACACCAGCCTTGCCTGCAGCCAAGTTCACTGACCTTGTAAGGCAGCTCCTCACCTGATGCTTCCCAGCCAGTCACGGACAAGGTCACTCTTGCTTCAGTGGCCACAGCTTAGAAAGTGTTTGGAGGATCTGTTCCCTAGTGAAGTTCGAGGTGAACCCCACATTACGATTTTCAGAGTGCCCAACATGATCTTTTCCTTCTGCTGTAGGAGATCTTAAAAGCTTTTGACACCTACAAGGCATTAGTGGTCTCTGTCAACGTGAGCAGCAAGGAATTTCTGCAAACCGAGAGCACCGAGCCCAGAGAGCTCCAAAACAGACTCCACCAGCTGAGCCTGCACTGGGAGGCGGCGCAGGGTGCCGTGGACAGCTGGAGAGAGGGCTTGAGGAAGTCACTCATGCGGTGCCAGGTACGCTGACTCAGCACCAGGCCTCCCAAGAGCCTGTGCCCAGCCAGGGAGCAGCAGCCAAGCTCTTAGGGCCCACAGAGATACGGGAAGCAGATATTTTTATCATAGTCAGGCTGCTTGGGCTCAGTCAAGTGTGACCTGTGTGAGGAAGCATGTGCTTTGCTGCTTGTTTCCAAAGAGAGGCTACCTGCCATCTCTCAGGCCTGATGTTTGCCTTTGCCCAGGCCCACTCCAGAGTAAGGGTTCTAGCGAATGTTCCTGTTGGTCAGAAATGCCATGTCAGCACTGCCCCCTCCTCTGTCCTTTTGCCAGGAAGGCCTGAAAACAGAGTGATTAAGAAATCTGTCCCTGAAACAGGAGTGGTTTGATCCTACTCTATAACTTAGTAGCTGTGTGACTGTGGGCAATTCATTGAACCTTCTAGACTTAGTTTTCTCTGAAATATGGGGATAATTTTAGTACCTACTCACTAAATGTGGAGTTCTGGTAGCATAGTACCTAAGGCACTGGACTGCTAACCAGAAGGCTGGCAGTTCAAACCCACCAGCCACTCTTCGAAAGGAAGATTGCCCAACCTACTTCCATAGTGATACTAACTCGGAAACCCAAGGAAGGGTTGCTGTGAGTTGGGGCCAACTCAACAGCACATAACAACAACAACAACTCACTAAATGAGGTAGTACGTGCCATCCTAACTCTGCCCCTGATACATAGCAAACACCCAGTGCATGGTAGCTGTGCACTGCTGTTTAGCTCTGACCTGTCTTAGGCAATGTGAGTCCACTTCCACACCTGCATGGAGACCTGCCCCTGAGCCACAGCCTGTCCTGTTGGGGCGAGAGTCCCTGAATCAGCAAATGCGAAGAGTGATTTGTGTAGGTAATTACATAAATTACGAAAAAATGGGGCCTCACTTTTCTGTTAGCACTTTTTGTTTCGCAGAATTCATCCTGCCTCCTGGAACTGTGCCAAGTGCCCTCCCCTTCCCTGCTTTCCCATTCCTTGTTTTGGGGCCTGACGTTTTGTTTAAACCTGGCCCTTTTGCTTACTGGATAAGACAAGAAGAGCAAATGAGTATGATGGGTTAGAAGCAGCCAGCTGCCTTCCAGCACCTCTTCTTTAGTAGATCTAAGAAAAGGCAATTCTGTGACGTGTATTATTTTTCAAGGACTTCCACCAGTTGAGTCAGAGTCTGCTCCTGTGGCTAGCAAGTGCTGAGAACCGAAGGCAGAAGGCTCATGTCACTGATGCGAAGGGCGACCCCCAGGCTCTCCTGGAGTGCCAGAAGGCACTAATGGTAAGTTTCTTCCTAATGGGTGCTACATCACCACTGGCTTCGGTCAGCTACCATAGTCAAGAGTACTTAGTCTGCCGTTTGTGAACAAAAACCGCAAGTGGTGTTTGTCTTGGGGTGGGTGGGTCAGAGGCAGCACTCATGCATTTAGCCCTCATTAGTGCCTCCAATTAGCATCTACCGTGCATCCTCTTAAGGAGCTCTGGTGGCATAGTGCTTAAGGCATTTGACTGCTAACCAGAAGGCTGGCAGTTCAAATCCACCATGGAAGGAACATGGGCAGTCTACTTCCATAAAGATTTACCACCTCAGAAACCCAAAGGAAGGAACATGGAAGGAACATGAAAACTCCATGGAAGGAACATGGGCAGTCTACTTCCATAAAGATTTACCACCTCAGAAACCCAAAGGGGGCTTGTTATGAGTCGACTCAATGGCCCTGACTCTGGGGTTTTTGGTCTGTTGCATCCACTTGCTATTCTGTAGCACAGCAGCTCCCAGGCATGAAGAGCCGCAGTGCAGAGCGGCACGTCTTTATAAGACTCAGAAATTGAAGACATAGACGTTTAGCCATATCTTGGGATACTTATGACCATTTGAATACAAGTACTTTTCCCCATGTGAATACTGCTCATTTTGGGGGAGACAGTGTCTATTTGTTTGGCAGCCATGATGAGTTGGATGTTTTCTACACCCTTTACAAAAAAGTCATCTTGGAGGCTAGCTGTCATCTCATCTATTTATCTCACTAACAAACCGAAATGAGACCTCTAGGTATTCTAGCTTGTACTCATATCTGTTGTTTAACACACACACACACCCCCATTGCCGCAGAGTCATATCCAATTCATAGCGACCCCTCCTTGGGTTTCAAAGGTGGTATCACTACGGAAGTAGAATATCCAACCTTCCTTCTAAGGAGCAGCTGGTGGATTTGAACCACCAGCCTTCTGGTTAGCAAATGCCTTAGGCACTATGCCACCAGAGCTCCCATATTTGTCCTGAAATCTTTGTAAAGCTCCACTCCCTAGAGCAGCATGGTCCGATAGACTTTTCTGTGATGACGGAGATGCTCTGTATCTGTGCTGTCCATTATGGCAGCCACTAGCCACATGTGACTATGGAATACCTCACATGTAGCCAGTGTGACTGAGAAATTGAACTTTTCATTTTAATTAATTTAAATATGATTATTCAATTGTGTGTCCAGTGGCTTCCATGTTGTGCAGCAAGTAAGGTAACTCCCCTCAACTATTCAAACTGATTCGCCTAATACATAACTCCATATTACTAAATTAGTATACTTAAACTGATATTTAGGAGCTCTGGTAGCATAGTGCCTAAGGCACTTGACTGCTAACCAGAAGGCTGGTGGTTCAAATCCACCAGCCACTCCTCAGAAGGAAGGTTGGGCAATCCTACTTCCGTAGTGATACTGCCTCAGAAACCCAAGGAGGGGTCGCTATGAGTCGGGGCTGACTCAACGGCACATAACAACAACAACAACAAACTGATATTTCTTTTTTTTTTTTTTTAATGTCGTTTGTTTGTTTGTTTAGTGCTGTAGGATCCCAAGAACAAATTTAAGGACAAATCATCAACTGACAGCAGTGTAAAATTTCTTAGATGCTCTCCCTATATACAATATACTTATTATTATTATTATTATTAACTTTTATTGTGGTGAAAACATATACGACAAGACATTAACCAACATAACAACTTCCACATTTATAACTCAGGGACATAGATGATATTTTTCATGTTGTGCCACCATTATTGCTATCCTCCAAAATATTCTACCACCATTAGCATAAACTCAATGCCCCACAAACAGAAGCTTCCCCTACCCCTGGTAACCACTAATAATCTTTGGGTTGTTTTTGTTTTTTCCCTTTTTTTTTTTTTTAAACCTTTCTAGCAATTTTCTGTCCCCTCCTCTCCCATCCCTGGTAAGAAGCAAAGAAAGTTTCCTTCCATATATAAACCTTTCCTTGACTTTTTATAATAGTGGATTAATACAATATTTGTCCCTCTGTGATTGATTTATTTCACTCAGTATAATGTCATCCACATTCATCCACATTACGCAGTGTTTTGCAGACTCTACATTATTCATTAAACTGGCATCTCTTAATTTATCGATCTCAGATTTTCCCTTGACTTCCTGCCGCAGTGGATGAGGCCTTGATCTTCCCACACAACATTTCTCCCTTCTTTCCTCTCACTTGCCTAGTAGCACAGTGTCTTCAGAAGGAGAAAGAACAAAGAATGGAGAGAGAGAGATAACCTACTGGTTACCTAAATGATGCTAGGCAGGCATATGTAAGAAGTAAAAGGTTCTGGAGTTGAACACTACTCATCATTCATTCCAGAACTTTCCTGGCACTAAGAAAGCTACATCTGGCTACACTGACTTCCCTTTGATAAGCAACTTTTTAACACTCTTTTTTTATTTTTAGCAACTTGAAAAGGAGCTATTAGAACATCAACCTCAAGTAAACTCCTTACAGGAGATTTCAACCAGCCTTCTTATTAAGGGACATGGAGAAGAGTATATTGAGGCTGAAGAGAAAGTGCATGTTATTGGGAAGAAACTCAAACAGTTACTTGAGCAAGTGTCCCTAGATTTAATGTCTTTGCAGGAAAGCCAGGTGAGTCCACTCAGAACTTTTAAATGTGAACAGTATCATATGAGATGCAAACAGGCAAGCAATGTAACAGCCTTGCTGTGGAGTGAGGACATAAGCTGGAGTCTCACTCATGCCCCCTCCTTTCTAAGGGGTGGCCTTAAAGAGTTACAGATGCTCTTTGAATCTGTTTAGTCCTTTGTAAAAGGGAGCTAACAGTAGTACCTAGGTCTTTGTATGGAGCCATAAAAAGCAATTCTAATCCCGTTATCTGCCTTGCCTTCATACCAAACGTACTCATCTTCCGCTTTCTCATGTGACAGTTTCAAGTCCACCTCATTGTCCCATTCACTTATTTTTTCTTTTTAACTTTTTATTGTGATTTGGGTGCAATTTTGCAAAGCAGATTCATTTTACACTCTAACATTTCATATGCGTTTTATTTCACAGCACCAATTACGATCCCCAAGATGTAACAGTTCTCCTCCCACCTCCTCCCTGTGGTTACCCCTTCCCTATGTCCTTCTTACCAATGCATTCCTGCCTGTCTAGATTTCTCCCTGTGCAGATGCTGCCCTTCCAATCTCTCCTGGTCATTTTCTTATGACCATGGACTCACCAAATTCAGCGCACGCCTATCCCTTCCATCCTGTTCTTGTTTGTTACCATCAAGTCCATCCTGACTCATGGTGACTCCATGTGTGCAGAGTAGAACTGCTCTATATATAGGGTTTCAAGGCTGAGACCTTTCAGGAGCAGATAACCAGGCCTGTCTCCCGAGAGACCTCTGGGTGGATTAGAACCTCCAACCTTATGGCCAATAGTCAAGCACTTAACCATTTGTACCACCCAGGGACTCCTATTCCCTCCATTCTAGAGCTTATATACTTCCTCTTGTGTAACCAAGACTGTTATCACAGTAGAGACCTGGGGTGAGTTTGCTTTGAACTACAACCTTTTCTGTTCTCTCTTGCTGCTGCTAAACTTAGTCTCCCCACCCCTAGCCCCACAGTATGCTATGGGTTTTTAATGCAAATGGTTGGTCTTGCCCAGTTTATATTGCCTTTTGTCTGGAAATATCTCTGCTAATAGGGGGAGCAGAACACCAGAGGAGCCCCCTCTATAAGAAAGATTTAAGCTGGAGGGTGGGGGGAGCAGCACAATGGAGAATCTGCAAGGGGCATGTTTTTATGCTCTTGAGACTATCCAGAGCCTTCCGTTACCCTCACCTGAACTTTGGGTATGGATTTCAGAACCCAGAGCCATCTCTGCCCAGCCTTGACGAGGTTGACCCTGGGGGCCAGCACTCGGCAGCATCTGTGCCAGCTACCCAAGCGAAGGTGAGAGCCCGTCTTCTGTGAGAGCCACAGTGGTTATTTTTTAAAGTTACTGACATGACAGGAACTTGGAACTCAAAGGTCCCATTAAAATTTCATGACAACACAGATCTACTTTCACCTCCTAATTAGCAGAAAGGCTTACTCCAAAGTGTAATAAAAAAAAATTTAAAAACCCCCCACTTTTTGCAGATCTAATTCAAAGACTTTCTTCTACTTACTCTTCTTTGGGATCATAGTAGGGCGTGAAAGATGAGAGCCCATCTAGCATTGTTGAAGGGGTTCCCATTTCACCATTAGAAACAGATCAACAAACTGCAATGTGAAACCCTCAATAGTTTAACAAACCAATGTTTGTCCTGCGTCATAGAGTTTAATCTCCAGTGTATTACTAATAAATCTCAAAAGCTTAACAAGAAGATGACCTAAGGAAGCTATAATTTAAGAAAGGACATTTTGTCACTGGCAGGACTAAACTATCTTCAGTTTACTCATTGTATTATGTTTATCCAGCAGTTTGGAGCTGAGAGAACCACAAATGGCGAGAACAAGACGGACAGCAGGTAATAGGACATTACAGTTAGCAGTATGTCACCCCCCTTTCACACCAGTCTTCCCAATGCCACCTCAATGTCATGATAAAATCTGCCTTTCTGGTTTGCTTTCATCTGGAAAGGACTGGGCTTTGCTTCCAAAAGTGAACCCCAGCTATTGGCCTGGATTTCTTATTTTACGTAAGCAGGGGTTAGGTAACGTCAGTGGATTTTGCTTTCAGAACCTACTGACCAGTTTTCAACCTCCTCTGCCGGCAGGGTGCCCGGCCTCGGCGGCTCGCGGCCGCAGCGCTCCTTCTTCTCCCGGGTGCTCAGGGTGGCGCTGCCCCTGCAGCTGCTGCTGCTGCTGCTGCTGCTCCTGGCCTGCCTGCTGCCCTCCTCTGAAGAGGACTACAGCTGCACACAGGCCAACAACTTCGCTCGGTCTTTCTACCCCATGCTGAGGTACACCAACGGGCCACCCCCCACGTAGGCAGCCCAGCCTGGCCTGCAGCACCACACCACCAGCCTGTTTACCACGGTGCCCAGCCTGTGGGTCCCCAGCCCAACCTGTGAGTGACTCTTGGCATTTGGTCTTGGGAGATGCTGCAGACACCTCCCTCTGAGCCTGGTGAGAGAGCCCTCTCTGCAGCCCAGGGTGGTTTTTAAGTGATGGGCGTTCTTCCCCTGGGGCAGGGAACCTGTGCAGCTATTCCCCCAGGGGATTTGCAAAGCTAGTTGGTTAGTTTAGGGATCTCTGGAACACGCAATTTCCCAAGGAGCCAAGCACTTTGTGAATTCTGATTTGTTTGTAATACACCATCGTTCATGTTGCTACTGTGGTCAGTGAGCAGTGGCACTCATCACATATATGGTAGCGACCAGCCAGCAGATTCTGCTTTAGCAGTGGTTTAGAAGCTCATATGCACCCTTTGCTGTTTGACTGAAACAATCATATTTAAAGTGTTTAGAATTAATTTTTTTTCTAGTCACTAGCAATCTTTGAGCTACTGGTGATAAACCAAAATGTTCTGTTCATTACTTAGGTCTGCTCTTTTATATTGCTTAAATTTTTAAAGAAATTATATTGCATGGATGTGGTTATTGTGCATATTTTTTAACAATGCTGAATCTGTACGAACAATGTAAACTTTGATTTTTTAAAAAAAAAAAAAGAAATCAGAATTTTAGCTTGAGCTTTTGACTAAATGTACAGTAAATGCCAAACTACAGACTTGATAGGGATGTTTTTGTAAGTTAATTTTGTAAGACTTTTCACATTTAAAATGATGCTTCAAGTTTTGTTGAACTGTTTGGCTACGGGGAATTGGTACAGAAACTTGAAGATGTTTGTGGTATGTACAACTCAGATGTTTCTGATTAAAAAAAATTTTTTACATTAGCCAAACTGTTGTACTGGTTTATATTACAAAGCTTAGCATTGTACTGGTTTATATTACAAAGCTTAGAATTGTTTTATTTTTATTATTTTTTTTAATTGGTTTTAATTATAAACTAAGTATTATAGTCTTTTCATTTAACGTTGTTCAGAATTACTGGTGCTTTGTATATGTAAATGACTCAGTGTGGCACCTTCACATGCTATAGCGAGCCCTACGGACAGCAGGGCACAAAGTGAGCCGTATTTGTACACCTGGACACAAAGGGAAGGATCGTTCACCCAGTATTTTTTATTCCCATCTCTCTCCAGAGGCAATTATTAGGTAATCAGGTGTCTAACAAATGGTACAGACAAGGCCATCAGCTTTCCATTTATCAATGAAAAACTTACACCAGACAATATTAAAGCAGGCAAGGATTACTTTTATTCAAAAGGATCTAGTAAAGAGCGAGTCCCTGGGTAGTGAAAATGGTTAAGTGCTGGACTTCTAACCAAAAGGTTGGCAGTTCAAACCCACCTACAGGTGGCTTGGAGATAAGGCCTGGCAGACTGCTTCCAAAAGGTCACAGCCTTGAAAACCCTAGGGAGCAGTTCTGCTCTGCACACCTGGGGTTGCATGAGTCAGAATCAACTCCACATTAGCAAACCAAACAGTAAAGGAGGGGAGGAGACTAAGGGAAGTGAACCTTGTAGTTGCAGGGAAAGGGGACTGTCACAGTGGGGACAGAGAGCTAAGTCTGAGTCCCGACTCCATGGAGACCAAAAACTGCAAACTTTTTGAAAGGAGATAGACCAATGCAATGAGCAAGTGATTCACTAAGGTTATGGTTGTGATTAGGGCCATTTTGTTCAGACTGGGAGTAGGGGAGAGAGAAGGGTTTGGCTGAAGTTAGGGAAATAAGGAGGAAAGAAAATACCTAAAGTTATGTAAACAGGGCAAATCAGTAACTTCAGTAAACCTCCTCAGAACATATGAAACAGGTTTTCTTTAATAACCCCATAAGTCAATTACGCTTGACCCCCATTGGGATTCTGAGGCAGTAAATCTTTATGGAAATAGATTGCCCTGTCTTCCTTCCGCAGAGTGGCTGGTGGGTTTGAACCGCCAGCCTCCTGGTTAGCAGTCAAGTGCCTTAGGCACTATGCTACCAGAGCTCCCCCGCATACCCTAACTTTCATTTTCTGTAGTCTGCATTTTACTTCACCACTGGTGCCTGTAAGTGTAGGAGGAGCTGATGAAAGATTACATGTGTTTCTATTTCAAAAAGCCTTAGACTGTTCAATGAATAGAAGCCCAAATTCAAAGCCTGGTTAAACAATAGCAAATGGGTTGGCCTGGAGGGCATGCTATGTGGATGACTGGTAACCTCTTCCAGGAAGAAGATCCTCCACAGCTCTGGGATCCTAACTCCTTGATCCACCTTGTAGGAGAGGCAAGTGGTCCTTGTCAATCCTCAAAACACCCCCAACCCCAGCCACAGTACCTGCTGTCAGAGTCCCCTCATAATGTGCTGACCCTTTTATTCTGCAATCTGAGAAGACACTTTAAAGATGGATACTCTAGGGGAAGCAGAACATTGACTTACTGAACTCTTAGTCTGTAAATATATCATCTTGCTTATTAGTGAAACACTACCACCTAGCACTATGCCTGGCACTTAAAATGTGTGTGTGTGTGCGTGCATTTATACTTAGTGAATTAATGAATGAATAAATAACTTTTACCAAAAAAAAAGCCTTAGATTAAGACAGGTTCTTAACTCTGCCAAAACTGTACACAAGCATTTGTGTTTATGTGTCTTGTCCCAGGTTTTCATCAAACTCTCAAGAAGCTCTGTGATCTGAAATAGAAACAATAGAATGTGGACACTGACTAGTTACCCTAATTACTGAAAGCACCCAACAAATACATGTTTAAAACCAAAATTATGGAAAACATGTTATTTAGCTTTTATCATGTTAAACTTCTTTCTGCAGTGGTACTATAAACATTAAAGGGAGAGAACAAGGAAAAAGTACTACCTGGAGGGATGGAAAGCAGAACTCAAAATCTGCTTTCACACAACAGCGATCTCATTTCTAAGGTCCCAATTTAAAAGCTTTGTGATGGTCAACAACAAATTGGTTTAATGGTACAAAGCATTCATCTGAAACAATGACAAATCAGAGGCTCTGAGGTACACAGGCCCAAGAGTCGTGGCATTTAGATACCCAACCCAGAAAACCAAATCCAGCAGTGTGGTGTTGGTAATACCAGGAGCTGTGCTGGGCACAGCTGACATCTCAAACCTTTGCCCACAGAGGAAACCCACCATTGTATAACAATGGCCCACAGGGAATAGGATCCTTGGAATGATACAAACAAAACAGATGCTTGACTCCAAAGCAACAAAAAGGGTGAAAAGAAGATCATTTATTTCAGAAACGATGCACATATTAAGAGCTGCCACTGAAGCTGAAATTCCAGGGACTTTGAAAGCTGTAAAGACTAAGTGGCATGTGTTTTCACACTGTTGTATACCAAACTCCACAGGAAAGCATCAAGTGCCTAAGATGTGACAATTTTACATGGGTAAATTTCTAAGGAATATACTCAAATGCATTTGGGAAAGCAATAGCAGATAGGAGGTGATAGCTATGCCCATTAGCTTACATGCCTGGGACGGGGAGACGGGAACAATAAAATTGTTTTTTCCATCTGTCACCACTGCTGTCCTGTAAAAGTTCCGCAGACACCACTGAGCAGACAGAATCTAAAGGTGCAACAAGATGGCCATCTCCATTCGGCTCAAGAAGTGTACTCACAGAAACGAGTCCTACTGCAGAGTAAGGCCCGCCGGCAGGCAGAGCACTCGAATCCTGGGTCAAGCTTTGCCGTGAGTAGTGTTAGGGTCTTGAGCAGGACAGTTTACCACTTTGGGCTTTTAATATACATATGTATAAAAGATGGCCTTGAACTTTTATGTCAGACGTTTGCAAGCTGTTACTGTGTCTGCAGGGGTATTCTGGAAACTCCAGTGCAATGCCAAAAGTGGACCCCAAACCCACTTAACCAGTCATACATAACAGATTGCATTTGAGGAATGTATTATGCAGTTTAAATATAGTTTTTCTTTAAAAATATATTTTTTTAACTAGCTGAATTGTTGCATGGTCAGTTTCTGCAGCTGGACTGTGTGCAGCTCTATCATTTAGCCCATGTGGCCTTGAATGGGTTTGCTTCTACACTCTCAAATGTCCACAGCTGAGAAATCAGGGTGACACTGGTTTTTATAGGGATAAAATATGAATGTGTGAGGCACTGAAAACTCTGTCTGGCACATAGTAAGTGTTACACAAATATTTTTAAGAACTAAATAATGTGTTATTTTATCATTTCCTTCACATAACCTTTAAAAAAAATTTAGCAAGTTAATGAAATGTGTCAAATATTTCTAAATAAAAATATTTCATTTCAAAATAGAATGTGCCAGCAAAGTAAGCCTAGTTTCAGAAAGAAAATATTTAATTTTCTTATTTAATCTCGTATCACAAGGTACCTTTTTAGAACATTACCATAAAAATCAAACATAATTATTTAATTGTTCATTACCAAAGTAAAGATGTAACTCTCTTTGTGCATTCTTTATGTTCCCGAAAATTTGTATAAAAATTTTAATTTTAAAAAAGCAAGTTAAAGTTATGATTTCAGAGGTGGTTATGTGTCTAAATCAACTTAACGGTGACAGGTTATCATCATGTCCTGTTTCTTTTCCATTTGGAATAAACCAAAAACCAAACCTACTGCTATGGAGTTGATTCTGACTCATAGCGACCCCTCCTTGGGTTTCCGAGGCAGTATCTCTATGGAAATAGATTGCCTAATATTTTACTAAGTTTCTATTTCACTTAACCCATCATATAAATGTTCTGGTATGAAAATATTTTTAAACAGAACTAGGGTGTAAAAGAATTCTTTCTTACTATAAATAATTACCCTAAAATAATCCCTTTAAGTTGAGTTCACAAACTAGGTCTTGCTTAAGCTCTGTTTTCATCAAAATCTATACAATTTGGTCAGTAAGTTGACACCCTGGCGTGTTTATAGCTATTCTCCCCTCCAAAGATCAGTATCCCTTGCACGTCCATGGCTGGAAGTGCCCTTGTCTCCTCTGATGGATGACATGATGGTGGTGGCTACTACCCTCTGCTGTGATCTGCACTGACCAGAAAAAAAGAAAAGAAACATTGCTGTTGAGTCCTTTCCAACGCATGGCACCCCTCTCGGAGAGAGCAGAACTGCCCCATAGGGTTCCCAAGGCTGCAATCTTTCTGGAAGCAAACTTCTACATCTTTCTCCTAGGGAGCAGCTTGGTGGGTTCAAACTGCCGACCTTTTGGTTGGCAGCAAAGTGCTTTAACTACTGTACCACCAGGGCTCCTTGCACTGACCAGAGAGAACACCAATCCTGAAAACCCTCAACCTTTCTCCATCCTGGGCCCCTTGGAACAACAGAACTTTAAGGAAGGGCAGTGGCAGGGACTGGAAGATTCAAATCCACCACAATCTTCATGAATGTGATGCCTCCCCCAACATGCCATCAGGTTCTATGAATGTAAATCGAGAGAAGAATTTTTGTTAACATGACAGCACGATCTGGGAGAAGACTGTCCCAATGTGGCTACCTGCTGCCTAAGTCATATCCCTCTGGGCTTTGACAGAATCACAGTAATATGTGACACCAGTCCTCACGGGCCTGTGAGGTAGGTATCAAGCTACTCAGTTGATTGGCATTGTGATTTTCAATCCTACAATCAAGTGGTCCAGAGAAGAATGTTCTTTTTAGGTGCAGTTGAATACAACAGAACAAACACTGCCCAGTCACGCACCAGCCTCACAACTGTTTGAGCCCATTGTTGCAGTCACTGTCAATCTATCCTGAGGTCTTCCTCTTTTTCATTGACCCTTTACCAAGCATGCTGTCCTTCTCCAGGGGGTAGGTCCCCCTGATAACATGACCAAAGAATGAGAGACAAAGTCTGGCCATTCTCACTTCTAATGAGCATTCTGGCTGTACTTCTTCCAAGAGATTTGTATGTTCTTCTGGCATCCCATGGTATATTCAACGTTCTTTGCCAGCATCACAATTCAAATGCATTCATTCTTCTGTGGTCTTCTTTATTCATTGTCCAGCTCTCACATGTCTATGAGGCTATTGAAAATACCATGGCTTGGGTCAAGCACACCTTAGTCCTCATCTTTGCTTTTTAACACTTTAAAGAGGTCTTTTGTGGCAGACTTCTCAAGGCAATACATGTGGTTTCTTGACTGCTGCTTCCATTGGCATTTACTGTGGATCTAAGAGTATACAAAGCCCTATTTTAAGGGTAGTTTCTATAGCACAGTAAAGATGAGTCCACTTCCTCTAAGTGTGTCATATTCTCTGTCTTCTCTTCATAGCCCTCCCAAGTCAGGTTCCCACCTTTCACAAGGTTCCAAAACTTTTCAGGAGATATTTTCAAAAGGGGTGGGATGGAAATGAAATAAAAGAAAGAGACCACATTGAGATCCTATGAGGCCACCCAGATTATAAACTCTGCATTTAAATGTTTCCCCTGATAACAATGAAACAAAGTGGTTTTCTCACCCAACTCAACAGGAGGCAGGGAAGTTGGGGAGAAACGGTATGTGACCAAGCCTGCTGTAACAATGAGGGACCACCACAGCATAGAAAGACAATGAAGCCTGCCGCCTCCAACCACGCTCCCACTGCAGCCAGAGTTCAGTCAGTCTTTGGCCTCCAGTGCAGGTGTGTTTGCCGTAGGACATCACTAAGGCTGCTGGGTCTGGCAGCCTTCTTTGGTCTTCCTCTCCTCTGTGAGACTGCACTCAGACCCCGCAGACGTGTAGCTCCGGAGCGTGTGGGCGTTCAGCATCTCCAGCAGCAGGTCGTAGACTGGAACCACGTTCTTGCACTTCATGCTGAGCAGGTGTTCCATGCCTTTGTTACTATGGGGAAAAAAGTGCCAAGGTTCTTTCCTGTGAGGCAGCCAGGGGAGCTCTGACGTCTTCCCAACTCTGCTGCACAGAGCCTGTCTGCCCCCCGCCCCACCACCAGCAGCCCTTCCCCCAGCCCTTTGCCTTATGGTTCTTACATTCAGCTCCCTCAGTAATCTACACTCAAGGGCAAGGACAATGGCCCAGCACAGCACCTGCACATAGTGCATGTTCTGTACAGTAAATCTGAAAACAGATTAAGAGGGATGAAAAATTTGGGAACAGTCAAAGGTGATTATTGAACATCCTGGTGAACATAATTACCATCACTGAACTGTACATGTGAAGGTTACTGAAATGACTAATGTTTCATCACATACATATTTATTACAACAAAAAAATAAAAGTAATTGACATTCATTCAATGCATACTCTGTGCCTTTGAACTATGGTCACAGGTGATGCGTGGACAAAGCTTCCTCATGCCTTTTCAGGGGTTCACTTGCCTTTAAAGGTGGCAATTATACTTCATCTACCTCAAACCTGCAAACACTGTCCCCACAGCTCTTCACCCTCCTCTGAGCACGTACACCCCCAGCACCCAGCGGGGCAGCTCCTACAGGGCTAGTACCTGGCATGCCTGATGTGAGAAAGAAGCATCAGGAGGTGAGCCAGGCGGATAGACTGTTGCTGGGAGGAGATGCCGCTCTTGGCGATCACCCAGACCAGAGCATCGGTCACGGCGTTCAGTAAATGAGTCAGCTTCTGGCCGCTCTCCGCCTCCTGGGTTGCTGCAGCTAAAGGGTACATACCTGCACAAAGGATGAAAGTTCTGAGAGAAGGAAGGCGAAGTCAAACACTCAGCCGTTAAGCATGCCTACCTTCTCCAGAAAGGAGGCCACATTGATCTGGGTTTGGAGTGAAATCTTAAAAGGTTTTCTCTCCCTGTGCTGGGCTTCCTCTCTGTGACCAGCCCCCTCACTGAGCCGGCTGGAAAAGCTGGCTCGGTGCAGGTCCAACCTCGCAAAAGACCCACTAGGCCCAGAATTTGGCCTTGCCATAGCAGTAACTGTACCTAGTCATTTCAAACCATTACGTGGTACTTCTTATCTGCAGTAACCAGTACACCTCTAGAGATGGTCAGAAAGTGGGTTATTCTACCCCTGCTCCCCTGAGAAGGCCCTCATCTAAGGGAGTACGTTGTTTGTTGTTATGTGCCATCGAGTCACATAACTACAGAAGTAGATTGCCCAACCTTCCTTCCGAGGAGTGGCTGATGGGTTTGAACCGCCAGCCTCCTGGTTAGCAGTCAAGTGCCTTAGGCACTATGCTACCAGAGCTCCCAAGGGGAGTATAATGAACATAAACTAATGACTAATGTAACAAAATCTCCCCCTTCCCATTCCCTTAAATGCACCAGCAGGGCCTCACTGCCACTTTGTCCAGGTCTTCAGCATCTCACTTCTGGTGACACTTTGCTGGGGCAGGAAGACCTCTGGTTTTGGAGTCAGAAAACAGCTCTGAATCTATCACCTCCAGCTCTCCGATCCTGGACCAGCTGCCCAGCTCCTCCATTCCGGCCTCATTCCTCATCTGAGCAGAGCTTATATGCATGTATCTCACTAGATCCCCACAGCCAACCAGGGCATAGCCTCCCCCTCTGTGCTGCCAGGGTTGAATTCCCCTCTGACCCTGTGGTCTGATACTGTGGCCTCTCGATGAAGGCGAAATAGCTCGGGAAAATTAGCACCCCCACCACTACCACCAACTCAATTCCTTGATTTCCTGGAGCAGTGGAATAATTTAGTGTTCCTCTCTCAGCTTTCAATTTCAAAGTAAGAATAATTTAAAATATGTGAAGTAGTGCAAACGGTTAACCCACTCAGCTGCTAACTGAAAGGTTGGCAACTGAAGTCCACCCAGAGGCACCTCAGAAGAAAGGGCAGATGATCTACATCCAAAAAAATCAGCCATTGAAAACCCTGTGGAGTACAGCTTTACTCTGCCACAGGAGGTGGGCACGAGTGGGAAATGATTTGACAGCAACTGGTGGTAGTGGTGAAGTTAACAAGAAAGCTGCCAAGTTTTGCCCAGAATGAGAATGAAGGGTGGCCACCACACCATCCATCATCCATGGAATTTGTTTTGGCAATTTTTGTTCTCTTTTTCATTGGCATTTTAATTAAATTAGGGAGCTCTGGTGGTGTAATGCCTAAGGCATTTGACTGCTAACCAGAAGGCTGGCGGTTCAAACCCATCAGCCACTCCTCAGAAGGAAGGTTTTGGGCAATTACTACCATAGTGATACTGCCTCGGAAACCCAAGGGTCGCTATGAGTCGGATCCAACTCCACGTCAATGAGTTTGTTTTTTTTATTAATCTGTTAGGATAAGAGACACACTGAACCATAATTATGGAAGTGTAGTGCTTTGCTGTTCCCCTAGAGACCCTCCCTAATGTCTGATGGTGCAGATTTTAAATATTCATCTTTCACAAGCCCAAAAGTCACTTACTCCTTTCTCAAGCCCACTCACTCACCTTGTTCCCCATAGGGGCTCTTCAAACCTTCCATTATTCCCCACAGGAGATAATGGCCTGTCCTCCCACTACACAGGAAACAAGCCCCACCCCTGACCCAGTGTGTCCCCGGTGAGGGCCAGAATGCCAACCTGCCCTGTGGCTCCCTTCAATGACTTCCTAGTGCTCTTACGGTAAAGTCCACACCACCTGGAGAAGTTATCAAGGGTGGTATAGTCTCCCCTTGCTCTACTCAGCCTCAGCTCTCATCACAACGCACCCTAAATCCTACTTTCATTTCCTTGAACCTATATAATGTGCTGAACATGGTGAACTTTTTTCCTTCTTTTCCCTTCTCTTCTTCCCTCCGTCTCCCTCCTCCACCCTCCCCCTTCTTTGCTTATCTATATCCATTCCTCCTTCAGACACCAAGCTGGTCATGAATTTCCTTCTGGAAGCCTCCCATGATCTCCCCACCATCCCACCCTCGGTGCCCTCCTAAAGCTCCAACAGCACCCTGTGAACCCCCCCAGAAGAAGAAGCTACCTTGCCCTCCTTGCTGGGTGTCTGCCTCATCCTCATCTCCACGGTCACCATCTGTTCTGGTTACCTAGTGCTGCTCTGACAAGAAATATACCACAAATGGGATGGTCTTAACAAACAGGAGTTTATCCTTACAATTTGGAGGCTTTAAGTCCAAGTTCAAAGTGCCAGGCTCTAGGGGCTGGGTGAAAGCCCCTCACCCTTGGGGTCCAGCTCTGCCTCCTGCACCCGGCCCACTGGAGCTAGAGGCATTTCTTGACTCAAACAGCTGCTGACTGCTGAGGCTGAGAAGCCCCAAGGTTGACAAGTAAGAAGTCACAGTCCCGATGTTACCAAACCACACGGCAGGCCATTAACTTAAGTCCATTGTAAGTCCCAAGGTCGGCACAGCATAGCAGGCTGCTCAACCAAGACACGGCTGCATGCAGGGTCCAAACGTGCCATAGGCTAGAGACCATTCCCAAGGCGTCTCCTTAAATACAGGAAGCAGACCACATACCCAAAGGCAGCTACTCAGCTGCTTGTGGTAGATCCCACCATGGAGCTGATTGCCAGTCTCATCATGGGGATTAACTACCACCAGCTGCCCAGCCACTCAACCAGGCCCAGCCAAGCTGACACACAAACATAACTACCACACATCCCACATCAGCTGGACTGGATATAAGTGCTTTGAGGACACAGACCATGTCTATCTTGGCTGTCCTATGTCCCCATCACCTAGTACACCTGGCATGGAGCAAACACTCATATATTGGAAGATTTAGATTGAATTCACATACGTTTAAATTTTTGCATTTTTTAGCTAATCATACGATCATAATTGAAAATATAAAACATGCATATCTTAGGCACACACACAAGAAATTACTAACCAAATACAAGCATGGAGAAAACTATTTTAAGTTTACTTTTCGTAAAATTGATGCCGGCTATATCAATGAGTGCTTTCTTTTAACTTCCTGCTAGGCTGTTCTGGCACATGACGTGTGCTCCATGAATTTCCATAGGTGTAAGGAAATGTTATGTCTTTGGATACTAAAAACTGTCAAAACTGTATATTTGTCCATCATCAGTCCAAAGTGACAAAAGATGCAAAATATAAAAATAAATCCTCAGCTCTCCATGAGAGTTTATAGCAATGTTCACAGTAGCTAAAAGTGGGAACAACCTAAATGTCCATCAGCGAACAAATGGATTTTTAAAAAGTGGTATATCCATACAATAGAATATTTTTCAAAATATAATGGACCTTGAAAATACGCTAAGTAAAATAAGACAGACACAAGTAAGTAAAATAAGACATATGATGTCCAAACCAAAAATTCACTGCTGTCGAGTCAATTCTGACTCATAGTGACCCACACTGGGTTTCCAAGGCTGTTGATCTTTACAGAAGCAGATTGCCTCCTCTTTCTTCCACAGAGTAGCTGATGGGTTTGAACCACTAACCTTTTGGTTAGCAGCCAAATGCCTTAACCACTACACCACCAGAGTTCCTTATCTGATGTCCAGTTGTGGGCAACTCTATAGAGGCAGAAAGTATATTTGTGGCTGCCTAGGGCTGAGGGAGAGGGAAGTAGGGAGTGATGGCTTAACATGAGTATAGGGGTGTTTTTTGGAGGTGATGAAACTGTTCTAAAACTGATGGTGATGATGGTTGTATAACTATGAATATACTAAAAACCATTGAATTGTACTCTTTAAATGAATTGTATGGTATGTGAGATACATCTCAGAATAGCTGTTATTTAAAAAGTAATAAAATAAATCCATGGAACCAAAATTAACAGTAATACAAAAGCCCCTCGGTGCTTCCTTGTGTCTGGCCAAGGCTCCCCTGGGAGAACAGGTGTTGGTTATAGGATTGTCACCTTCATAAACCAACAGTCATTGCTAAGGCAGGCCTTAGGCCTTCTGCAGGTTATAGGGAACGCACAGCCCCACACAAAAGGCCTTCAGGTCCTGGGTCCATCATTTACAAAAAGTTTAGGGAGAGGAGAAGAGGGGCTTCAGTTTAAAAGGAGCTCTGGTGGCACAGTGGTTAAAGCATTCAGCTACTAACCAAAAAGTTGGTGGTTTGAACCCATCGTCTACTCCCCAGGCGAAAGAGGAGGCAATCTGCTTCCATAAAGATTTACTGGCTTGGAAACACTATGAGGCAGTTCTACTCTGTCCTAAAGCATCACTATAAGTCAGAATCAACTCCATGGCAAGGGGTCTGTTTTTTGGTTTTTGTGTTAGTGTATAATACAGGAAAAAAATTAACTTACATAAAATCGTCCTGGGAAGGTATGAGGCTGCTGAATGCCCATTTTGCTCCTGACTCTCCCTTGGGCCAGCAGTGCAAGGCCTGCACTTGAAGCATTCATGCACTGTCTCACTCACCCAACTCGCATGCACAGAGTGACTGCTAAGTAGCAGACTCTGGGCAGGGTCAAGGGCCAGGACTCCCAATGCTCAGGGCCCACTCAGACACATAGGAAGCAATAAAAAGGAACCTCTTTCCCACCTCAAAAAAGTAAAGACATCAGTTAGGATTCATTTTAGGACAAAATTCAATTACTTTTTAAGAAACTGATGAAATACAGTTAAAAAAAAAAAAAAAAAAAGGCAAGATCTTGGCACAATGCTCCACACGTACCAAAGAAAGTAAAATCAAGGACACAAATCTCTCCCCGTTTATCACCTAGGAACAGCTGTGTGTTCCTCTCACAAGCCCACCTGATGACCCTCTGAGTAGCACACGGGG